TAGATATATAGTTACATTCTCTTAATGAATAGAATGATTTGTTCTGATGGCGTTTGTAGATAGGATATCATGTCCGCATCTTGCACAGCAGTTAACCACTGGGAAGAATGTATGCAATGTGTTGATTGTTGAAACTGTCCTACCAATTTCATTTGAAACTGTCTCATTGCTATTTGTTTATCAATAAAATTATGGAAAAAAATGAAAAAAAAAAATTCTAGTTCTGGGGTTATAAGCATGCTATTTTCTTAATGTAACGATATTTATAATAAATATGGTAAATTACTATTATTTCATTAGCTTATAGCAATAGTTCCATAGAAGATGACAAAAATATAACAGGAAAGGATAGATATATAGCTACATTCTCTTAATTCAAGGAATAGAGGGATTTGTTCTAATAGTGTTTGTAAATAGAATATCATGTCTGCATCTTGTACAACAAATAACCACTAGGAAGGCAACATGCAATGTGTTCATTGTGGGAACTGTCCTACCAATTTGATTTGAAACTCTCTCATTCTATTTGTCTCTCAATAAAATTATGGAAAAAATATAACAGGAAAAAGAATTACAGTATACAAGTAGGCTTTTATTAGGGCAAAGATTTCCATATCCATAAAGACAGCATTAAACCACAGATCCAAATTATTAATGTACAATTAATTATAAATGAAGATATTTTAGCATATAAATCAAAGTCTTCACAGGTTTTAATTACCAGGACCTCATAACATTTTCCAACTAATTAATGAGAAACACCTATAAAAAAAGGGCACAAAGGATATTCTAACATATCAAAGAGAGTATTTTCCTGAATCACTGTCGATAGTATAAAACATACTTTACAGGGCAAAAAACCTGAAAAAATAACTTTGGGAAAAGTCATAATGCAAAGATTGATAATGTATATTAATAATTTAAATAAATAGGGCCAGGGAGATGGCTCAGTAGAATAAGCACTTGCCTGGGAATCTCAAGGGGCTGAGTTCAATCCCCGGTTCCTCCAAAAAAACCAAATTATGTAAATATATGGTCACAAGCATGAAAATGCGACCTCATTATCTGAGTGTTTATTAAAATACAGAATAGACTGAAACAAATGAAAAATCAAGACCTTAATAAAGTGACAATTATTTTATAAAATAAAATGCAAAATGAAGTAGTCATTATAAATAAAGACATTTCTCCAGAGTTTTCATATTAGGATCTCATAAATTCATTTTCCAATTGATAAGTATTTTCATCATATGGCAGATACTGAAATATCAAGCAGCAAATAAAACTCATTATTTCCTGAAATAGGGGTAACAAACGATACACACAGCTTTAAAAAAATGTGAACAACATGGTGAATTAACTTACTACCTTCTTCAAAGAAAAAAAGAGTAATTTTCTTGGCAGAATTTAAGCACCACTGGAAGACACACACTGTAACACCAATTAATGAGACACTTGGTATTTTTAGTACCAAACTACTTCAACGGTGAAAATGACGTAGGAATCAGAAGAATATTCTGCTGAGACTCCAGGTAGTTGACACTTTCTCGAACTGCGAAAACATTTCATTAAGACATAAAGTATTCGACTGAATCAAATGTGTTCTAAAAATAATGCGTGCTTAGTGAAACTGCTTACCAGCTGCCACAACCCTGGGATCCTCATGAGATTCATGTCTCCCAGCTGCACGACTGTCAGCACTCTCATGCCACCAAAGGACATGAACTGAAGAAATAAACCAAAAATTACTTCTGCAGAGTATGGCATTAATAAATAAGAAATACAGAAAAATGAGTCTGACATGTTATTTTTTTTAAATTGAAATGATCCAAAAAAGTATAACCAAATATTTCAATGATGAAATTTCAGAGGGGTAAGAGACTTGGGAATGAAATTCATAATTTCATTAATTAACTTGGTTTTACACATGAAACACGTAAAGCAGAAGAAGGTAAGTAAAGTAGGACAGCTACAGATATACTTGTGACCTCTGTTTTCTTCAACAGTTTATTTTTAAAAAGTGACATAATAAAAACTTACGGAGGGCCAGCAAGATAGCTCAGCAGACTAAATGCCTGCTTAGGCAAGTGTGGGGGCCTGGTTTGATCCCCAGCACCACATGCAGTGCCAGCCCTACTCTTGGGCGCACTGAGCCCACCAAGACCAGGCGTGGTGGTGCATGCCTGTAATCCCTGCACTGGGGATGCTGAAAACTTGGAGGATCACCACGAGTTCAAGCTGCATAGGGAGATCTTGTACCAAATACATTTTTAAAAAAAGTATATGTATATATGGGAGGGAGAGAGAGAGCGAGCGAGCGAGCGAAGGAGGTAGCTCAGTGGCATAAATGCCTGCCTGGCAAGCACAAAGTCCCGAGTTCAATCTCCAGTACCAAAACTAACTAATTAACTAAATAAACCTTACTGTAAAAAATTTACATGAAACAAAAAAGTAAAAAGCACCATAATATTAATAACTACCCAGAGAAACTCTCTTAGTATTTAGTATACTTTCTTTTTGTAGGTCCATTAGAAGAGATCCCTTAAATGTGAGATTTAATCTCTTTTGTTATCTTCTATGACCATTGGGTATTATCTCAATTTCAGGACCTAGGGAAAACACTGAGTACTTTCCAGTTTGTAAGTGGGGCCACTGGCTGGGTAACTACTGACACATCTGTATGAGCATGAAAAGTTTAACAGGCCTTCTCCTTACATTGGCAGTTAACATGAGTTCCCTGAGAGGGGAAGACCCTTGACCACCTCAATCTGAAACTTCCTCTGACTCCATCATGAACACTTTTGTTTTCTTCTTCTTTAGCAGCTTTGGACACTTTTGCTTGAAATGTCTCTTCTCTCTGTCCAGATCCAAGGAAGCATGACTTTTCCTGTTTCTCAACTGGCCTTCACTCCTGTAGGCTGCTAGTATCACTATTCTCATTTTCTGTCTATCATTCCATTCTGTATCCTTTCTACTATGAAACACCTCAACTGAGACAAATTCATTCCTGCAAACCCTTCTAACTTCTGCAGCTTGTGTCAGATACCTGGGGCCCACTGAGCAAGATAAACCTTGAGCAGGAGGCAACCCTGCTCAAAGAATGTGAGGGCAACTTCCCCTGTAGTGGATTTTCTGGGCTATGATTAGACTGAGAGAGGAAGCATCT